GCAGGGCTCAAACTCATGAACTGCCAGATCATGACCTGAGCAGAAGTTGGACACTTAACCGATGAGCCACCTAGGCACCCCTTGAAGTTAACTTTATTTCGTCTGGCTACTCAAATCTACCTTTGAGTCCCAGCAGTGAAATTTTCATTTCAGTTACTGTATTTTTCAGCTCCAGAATTTTTTTGTTTTTAGTTTTTCTGTCTCTTTATTTATATTTCCATTTTGTTCATATCTCATTTTCTTAACTTTCTCCACATACTCCTTAAATATCTTTAAGACAGCTGTTTTAAAGTCTTTTTCTAAGATATCTGCCATCAGGTCTTCTTCAGGGACAATTTTCCTTTGAATGGGCCACACTTTCCTGTTTCTTCACATACCTTGTGAGGTTTTTATTGTTGTTGAATGCTGGACATTTGAATATAACAGTGTGAAACTCTGGAAATCAGATTTTTACCCTTCTTGGGGTTTGCCATTCTTTTTGTTCCCTCCCTCCCCCTCCTTCCTTTTCTTTTTCTTTTTCTTTTGTTTTTTTGTTATAGGCTATCTCTGTGCCAAGAGTCAGCCTAAGATGTAAACTTACAGTCTTTTCTGTGCACATTCAGGGCATGCATGATCACTTTCTATTTTTCCCCGTCTTTGATGTCTGGCTCCCAAAAGGGGAGAAAGAGAAAAGCAGAGGGGGGAATATGGGAACAGGCCCATGAGTCCCCTGGAAGTCACTTTAATGGGAGGGGTGAGGGTTGCAACAATAAGGGGAGATGGAACAACAGTGGTTGCCCAGCTCTTTTTCAGTACCTCCATGATCAGAAGCAGCAGTCAGCTATCACAGCACAAATATATGGTATTTGTTAGACAGAGTCCTATTTGCCCACCCTGGTTCCTGCAAGCTGTTATAGAAACATGTGCTCTGCTCCTTGCCGTGTGTTTCAGGGTGGGGGATGGGCAGCTGTTGCTGTGCTAAGAGCTGAAATTGACCAAAATTAATCACAATTAAAATAAAAACCACAAGTCTTTCCATGGAAGTTGCAAGCATTCAGTAGACTTCAGAATTCCCAAACAGATTCTACAAATATAATTGTTGTCTAGATGCTGATAGATTCCTGGTGCTCTTTACTCTGTCATCTTCCCAGATACCTCTCCTCCACCTTAATATTTTAAAGTCTTTTGTTTTTGATGTTTATTTTGAGTGAGTGCATGTGCATGTGTGCATGCACTGGGGAGGGGTAGGTGGGGTGGGGGGGAGAAAAAGAACCCCAAGTAGGCTCTGCATTGTCAGCCCAGAGCTTGACATGGGTGGGGGTCAGTCGAACATACCAACCGTGAGATCATGATCTGAGGTGAAACCAAGACTTGATGCTTAAACCACCGTGCTACCTAGGTGCTCCTCCTCCACCTTAATTTTTAAAACAAACATCGTGCTTGATTTTTTAAAAACATTTTTGAAGTTTATTTATTTATTTTGAGAAAGACAGAGACAGCTGAGTGGGGAAGGGGCGGAAAGAGAGGGGGACAGAAAATCCCAAGCAGGCTCCAAACTGTCAGCACAGAGCCCCTATGTGGGGCTTGAGCCCAGGAAACCACGAGATTGTGGCCTGAGCCAAAGTAGGACGCTTAATTGACTGAGCCACCGAGGGCGCACCTACCTTAATTTTTAAAGGAAATTTTTGCTGGTCAGTTAAAGGATATTTACTATATCTAGATTGGCAGTTCTTTTGTCCTTTTAACTACCATTCTGTTATATCTTGGCTTCTTTTGTTTCTGTTGAGAAATTTGCTGTCAATCTCACTGCTTCTTTGAAGGTCAACTAATTTTTTTCTGTGCTTTTTGTATTTTCACTTATTCCTTTTTTTTTTTTTTTTACAAATAGTTTATTGTCAAATTAGTCTCCACATAACACCCAGTGCTCATCCCCACAAGTGCCCTCCTCTATGCCCATCCCCCCTCCCCCCCACATCCATCAGTCCTCAGTTTTTGTCAGCATTCAAGAGTCTCTCATGGTTTGCCTCTCTCCCTTTCCCCCACCATTTCCCCCCTTCTTCTCCCCCTTGTTCGTCAGTTAAGTTCCTCCTAATCCTCCTATACGTGCAAACATATGATATTTGTCCTTCTCTGCCTGACTTATTTCGCTCAGCATAACACCCTCAAGGTCCATCCATGTTGCTGCACATGGCCAGATTTCATTCTTTCTCATTGCCATGTAGTATTCCATGGTATAGATAAACCACATCTTCTTGATCCATTCGTCCGTTGATGGACACTTAGGCTCTTTCCATGTTTTAGCTATTATGGAGTCACTCATTCCTTTTATAGTTTGATGATGACACGCTGGGTATGGTGTTTTTTGAGTAATTCTGCTTGGAGTTGGCAGAGTGTCTTGAATCCCTGAAATGATTTCTATCATCAGTTTTGTAAAACTCTGTTATTCTTAGAATGTTGCTTATATCTGTCTCCTCTTGTCTGGAACCTCAATTGTATGTATAGTAGACATTTTGAGCATATTTTCCATTTCTCTTAAAACTCTCCTCCAACTTTTCCCCTCCCTTCTACTCTTCTTTCCTACTTTCTTTCTCAAGCTATAGTTTGGTATTTTTTATTGACTTACCTTCTAATCCTATGATCTGCTGTGACCAGTTTGCTACAAAAGCAATATATTGAGTTCTTAATTTCATATATTGTATTTTTCAGTTTTAGAATTTACATTTAATTTTTTTATGTATCTTAATTCATTGGTGAAATTTTCCACCTCATCAATTTTGTAGATTTTTCACTCTATTTAGTATGTTATTTGAGAATTATTTTATTTTTAATAATATTTTGCTATGATACTAATTTTTTTAAAGTTTTTAAGTTAAGGGGGAGAGAGAAAATCCCAGGCAGGCTCTGTACTGTCAGCGCAGAGCCCGACACAGCGCCTGAACCCACAAACCAGGAGATCATGACCTGAGCTGAAACCAAGAGCCAGATGCTCAATGACTAAGCCACCCAGACAGCCCCAGAATTATTTTAAATAGCTGTCCTTGTGTGTGAACTTTATTGTTGGATTATCTGTGGATCTGATTCTGTCTAGTTTTCTCTTAATTATTGATCATGTTTTTGTCACTTAGCATATTTACTAATTTTTGATTGTGTGCTATACTTTGTATATGAAAGAACCATAGAGGCTTCAGACAGTGTTATCCTCCTGATGGGGTTCCTTTTTTTTTTTTTTCTGTTGCTCAAATGGCTGAGAGGCTTATTACTTCCAATTTATCAGGGGTTGAACTGTTTTTTTTTTTTTAATGTTTTTTTTTTTAAATATTTTTATTTCTAGGAGAGAGAGAGAGAGACAGCGTGAGCAGGGGAGGGTCAGAGAGAGAGGGAGACACAGACTCTGAAATAGGCTCCAGGCTCTGAGCTGGCAGTCAGCACAGAGCCCGACGCGGGGCTCGAACCCACGAACCGTGAGATCATGACCTAAGAGAAAGTCGGACGCTTAACCGACTACGCCACCAGGCGCCCCTTTAATGTTTTTTTTTTTTAATGTTTTTTTAATTTACTTCTAGGCGAGAGAGAGAGACAGCGTGAGCAGGGGAGGGTCAGAGAGAGAGGGAGTCACAGACTGAAACAGGCTCCAGGCTCTGAGCTGGCAGTCAGCACAGAGCCCGACGCGGGGCTCGAACCCATGAACCACGAGATCATGACCTAAGCGAAAGTCGGACGCTTAACCGACTAAGCCACCCAGGTGCCCCTGGGGGGTTGAACTGTTTTAAAGCTATGTTAAAGTTTAATAAAACTCAGTTTCCTATCCTTTGCCCTATTGGTTCCCCCCACCCACCCACCTTAAATTGAGAACCTAGTGAGTATGTGTATCCTTAACCCTGAAAGATTGTTGGAGACCGATCTCTAGAGATACTAGAGATTCCTAGTATAGCTCTTTAGTCAGCCTGCTTACACTGCTTCAAAATCTGGCAATTGTCTTGGTGGCTCCAAATTCCCAAGGTATAAAAAGAGAGGTTCCTTGACATCAAATGCCACTTCCCAAAGTATGACCAGTTTCTTGCATATCTTTCCAGGGGTATTCTCTTAGTCCTCTTCAAGTTTTTTCACCCACTTGAAGAACTCATGAAATGAAAATCTTATGTGATAGTCGATAGATAAGAGATAAAAAGTCAGCTGCTATGGTTGGATTAGGAGACCCTGACACATCTTTACTTTGAAAAACATCAGAGACTTTGTGATGATAATGTAATTTAACTCCAAGAGAATTTTATTGTGGTATTATTTGTATTTTTAATCATATTTTGTTAATGAACATATTTTAAAATGTTAATTTTTTGGTGTTTTAGATTTTAAAGTTGTGATACAACTTTGAATTAAAGTGGTAGAGTATAATGTGGTCAGCAGGTACTTGAAAATATTTTCTACTTTCTGAGTAAAGTATACTTTTAGCAATTGAAAAGGGTTCTCCTTGATTTAATATCTTTTAATATGTTTTTGTACCAAAAATTCAAGTAATAGCATTTTCTGTGTTCTTTTTAAAAATGATAAAATTTTCAGTTCTGTGAAACTCATCCAAAATCATTATATAGCCATTGATACTTAACTATTTAAGCTTGATGTTATACTGCATATTGAAATTTTAATGATGTGTGTGTGTGTGAGAGAGAAAGAGGTCACTAACATGTTCCAAAAGTTGGATTCATAGAATTTTTTACTGAAAAGGACTGAATTTTATAGATTATTCAAGTGAGGCTCCATAATATTTAAGTTACCTACTCAAGGTCTTATAATGGAAATTTGAAACTAAAGCTCAAACTTCGTTTCTCTAAATCTGCTATTTTTTAAATTTGGTTTAATGATGGTGCACAAGTATATGCTAGTCATTATAGAAATTTTTTAAATCCCTAATTAATCTGAAAAATAAATTGTATTATAAATGTTTTATACAAATTGTTTCTTATTATAATAATTGAGAATATTATCTCAATTATTTCACAGTTTTTAATTTTTATTTTTTATAGAGCTGGAAAATATTAAAGTCTCAACAAATGAATTCCACACTTGAATTCTGCCGCATTCCTGTGCCACCTCCTCCTTTAGAAAACTGATCTTAGAACAGAGGTAAAATTATGACATTTAAATTATCAAAAAAATTATGACTTTTTAAAGGATAAAGAATGGATTTTTCCATAGAATTAGACATTTTAGAATTTTTGGTCATCTTTGGTGGATAGCTTTTATTTACTTAGCAATTTTATCTAAGGAACTTGAAATAATCACATCTTAATTACTGCCTTTGAGTTTTACTTTTGAAATACTTTTTAATAGTTTTTAATAGTTGTGACTTTTAACCTTCTTATTGCCTAATCTTTCTAGTTACTGAATAATTGAACTTACTCAGCATAATTGTATTATGTAGGTACATTGAGATCATTCCTATCCAGTAGAATTTCTGTGATGATGTCTGTGTTCTCCAGTATGGCCACATGTAGCTACTGAGCACTTGAAATGTAGCTGGTGCAACTAAGGAATTGAATCTTTAAATTTTATGTTATGTTATGTTAAGTAAATTTAAATAGCCACATGTAGCTAGCGGCTACCGTACTGAATGGTGCAGCTCTAGGGGTTTTTTTTAGAGAAGTTGGTATTTACAATAAGTGCACATCTGGAATGCTCAAATTTCAGACTTGTACCTTGAAATATTTTCATAGTTGTTGGCCTAGTTTGAAAACTTGCAGTAGCAAAACCATTTTTTGCTGTTTCGTATGTTTCCCTGATAATTGTATAGATTTGTTTATCCAATAATTTTGGTCTACCAGAAACCCTTGAGAGCAGTTATCATAATTAGTTTTGCTCACAGATGTGTTAACTTATTTAATCTTAAAAAAAAAAAAGCCTTTGACATAGGTACTTACATTATGCTCCTTTTATAAATGAGGAATTTGAGGCCATAAATTAGTTAAGTAATTTTCCCATAGATACATAGCTTGTAGGTCATGGAACAAGAATTTGAACTCAGACAGTATAGAGCTAGACCCCCATACTCTAACCAGTAGGCTGTACTGCCTCTTTTAATCTGATTCTTTAGAAATTGACAATTTCCACAAAAGATACATGCTTACTGTCAGCTGAGACACAATTTGTACCTGTGTAGACAATGGACAGCTTATTGTACTTGGATGAGTTTGCTTCCTGGCAAGTAGTTACTGACCTCCTTCAGATCACATTCCAGCAGTTTATTATTGTTCATTATGTTATATTCAGGGCTTGCCAATAAAGGTTGCCATTACCATGGTCATCAAAAATATTTATTTTCTGTGCTCGCTTCGGCAGCACATATACAAAAATATTTATTTTCTGTATATCTTTTTACTTTGTTAGATACTCTGAAAGTAAGGCAGTATGGGCCCAAATTGAGCTGCATGCTGGAAATCAGCTTGATTTTTGCTTTTAAGACTTTAATTTTTTAAGTAATAGTTTAAAAAATTTTATTTTAACATTTTTTTATTATTGAGAAACAGAGACAGAGGATGAGCATGGGAGAGGCAGAGAAAGGGGGAGACACAGAATCTAAAGCAGGCTTCAAGCTCTGACCTGTCAGCACAGAGCCCAATGCAGGGCTTGAACTCACAAACCATGAGATCATGACCTGATCTGAAGTTGCACACTTAACCAACTGAGCCACCCGGGCGCCCTGTAAAGTAATCATTTTTTAAAGTAATCTCTAGACCCCACGTGGGGCTTGAACTCATGACCTCAAGATCAAGAGTTGCATGCTCTACCGACTGAGCCAGGCAGGCACCCCTTGATTTTTGCTTTTAAATATACTTTTTATATACCAGGTAATAGGATAGGTATAATATACAGTAGGAAAAAAATCTACGAAATTATACATTGTCTGGTTAAATAAAAGGAAAATTTATAGTACATTTATAACTATGTTCATAGTTATCTCCAGATACTAAGATACTGAGAACAGCTAGGAAATTCATATTTACAAAATTTCTCTGTAGCCAGTACCATTCTATTTTTCAAATGAAGGTACTCAAATATTTTTAGGATTTTAGATGTAGTAAGTAAAACTAAAGCTCAAAGGATTTAATTGATTTGTCCGAGGTCACATAAGCAGTGTGGTTCATTGATTCAACAAACACACATTAGTACCTGCCATTAAGTACAGATACCATAGTATGTTTGTTAGCTTTGAGTACATAGTGAACACTCAAATGTGACTAAAACAGAAATGGACCATTTTCATATAACTTAACAATGTTATAGGGAAGATAGATAATAAGTAATAAGATCTAAGAAGCAAGGTGTAAAAATCCAAAGCTCTAGGAAGAGAATGAACCATGTTTGTTGGAATGGAAAATAGTAGAGAAGGAAAAAAGGGATGCCATTTAGACAAAGTGGTCAAGAAAGGCCTGCTGAGATTAACAGGATTAGAAGCCCACAATTTATATAGCAGTAGTAGGACAGCATTCTAGGCTGGAAACAATCCCTGGGGTAAAGAGGTGCATGAAGTTATAGAAAAAGAAAGCATATGGCCAGGACGTAGAAAACTTTGGGGAGTAAGAAAGGGGCCAAGGTATATTTTTCAACCATAGGTTTTGGAATAGGCATTAAATTAAAATCCCAGTTTATCAGTTCAACTATGTTACCTTGTGTGGGTCACTTGTCCTTATTTACACTTTAATTTTCTTATCTATTAGTTGGGAAAAACAGAGGCCGTTTTATAGTACTGTATATAGTATCAGGAAAATTAAGTATATAATACTCGTAGCAAACATTTATAGTATTTAGTTGTGATAAGAACTATTTTTTTTTTAAGTTTATTTATTCTGAAAGAGAGCTAGAGAGCAAGTTAGGGAGGGGATGAGAGAGGGAATCCCAAACAGGCTCCATGCTGTTAGTGCAGAGCCCAATGCAGGGCTCAAACTCATGAACCGTGAGATCGAAAGTCACCCAGGTGCCCCGATAAGAACTATTCTAAGTACACAATAATTATATGAAATAAGTTCTGTGTTGCTATTACCTTCTTTTTGAAATCAGAGAAATGAGGTACAGAGGGCTTACATATAGCTAGTAAGGGAGTCAGTGGGTTTAAACATAGCTGTAGTTAAGTACCCTTAAACTTAGACAATCTACCTCCAGATTGTCTATGCTCAGTGTGTGTCCGGGTAATCCCTTATGTGGGTTTGTGTGGTCAAAGTTGTTTTTTATATTAATACTAAGACAGTATTTGCTGCCTTCATTGTCATTCTCTGATGGATATACAGTGAAGTTTTTCAGCAACAGATTGAACGCAGAAGTAATTATGAGATTTGCAAAAAATGTCAAACAATAAACACTACTCTTCTCACCAAATTTGCTTTTATTTTGGAAAAATAAAATTTCACTTCAGAACATTATGTCCAAAAAACCTACTATGTTAACATATAATGGGCTTATTTTTTAAAATGATTTAATAAACTTTTTAAATGTAAGAGTGAAAAGGGGTTCTGAAGCAAAAAGTTGATTTGCTGCTCTAAACACTAGATTCTACTGCCATATTAAATCAGATGAAATATAGAAAACAACTGATTCAATGTTCATACTTCATAGGCTCACTAATTTACATTTTCCTTTAAAAATTGTTTTTAATGTTTTTTTATTTTTCACACACACACACACACACACACACACACACACACACACAGACATGAACGCACGCATAGTGTGAGCAGGAGAGGGACAGGGAGAGAGGGAGACACAGACTCTGAAGCAGGCTCCAGGCTCTAAGCTGTCAGCACAGAGCCCAACATGGGGCTCGAACCCATGAACTGTGAGATCATGACCTGAGCCAAAGTTGGACATTTAATTGACTGAGCCACCTCTGCCCCTACTTTTTCCTTACCTCTAAGATAATTTTCTTCACGTTATAACATTTTTGAAATCAGGATGTGTCTTGGGTGAATAAACTTCAGCAACCAGACAAGTAAATTGTGAAACAGCAACAGTCATCCTTATTTGGATGACTATTGCTACTGGTATGTTGGTACTTTGAGATGTTAGCTTTGTGTATTCATTATTCATTTATCATTTCAATTGATAGTAGTAGTACTATGTTGGGTTACATTTTTTTATATAAAAATGTTTAATGTTTATTTTTATATTAAAGTTTTGAGTTTCTTTAAATTATTGCTTAATTTATTTATTACAGATATTACTAATCTGTAAATTATTGCTTAAAATGTCTGTAAAAACCACAGTGTAATACAGCTTTGCAGTGAATAATGGTCTTAGCTGAAGATTTCCTGACACATGCCAATTAATTCAAAGAGAAAATTTGCCAAATCCCTCAGTCTCTAATTTCAAACCTGGGAGAATATCCACCTGTCAGAAGTTTTTGGGTGCTTTTTAAAGAAGATATCAACTTCCAACCATATTTAATTTGGAAAAGTAAAATTATTAAGCTTAATCACATAGAAAAAGCAGGCAGAAATCTCAGGTTTTATTATGGCCAAAATAGAACTGTCATTATTGAAGGTGCTAAATAAATGAGTTCATAAAGGATAATTTAAAAAGTCATATGTGATTATATGGATAAGCTTATATTCTTTTCCTTTAGTTAAACTTTTTTCATTTTAATAAAGATTTGTTTCTCGTTTTCTACTATAAATTTGTTAATAAATTAGTCTTAAAATTAGTAGTGTTGTAGAGTTGAAGAAATATAGTGGTTTTTGATCTTAATTATTAACACCACTGTATTTCTCTATCTAAAGGTATTACCTTACAGTCATTTTAAAAATAATATTGGTAGAAACTAAAGTGATTTGATATACAAATTTGTCATTATAGGAGAGATTAGGTAAGAATTTAAAATAAGAAATTTAACCTGGATTTGAGACTTTTTTTTTTTTTTTTTTTTTTTTTTTTTTTTTTTTTTTTTTTTTTTTTTTTTTTTTTTTTTTTTTTTTTTTTTTTTTGCTGAAGGATTACTTGGGGAGCTTTTCAAAATATGTATTCCAGGCTCTATATCAAATAGGGATTCTGATGATATATATATCAGATTAAAACGATTTGTGGTTTTTTTTTGAAAATAATATTTGGGTTTCTTTTTTTATTTTAAAAGCAATTAATGTTCTTTGTAGCAAACTGGAAAAAATATTAACTATAGGTGCTTTTCCTTGCCCTTTTCTATAAAGTAGTAGCATACATTTTAAAAAACATCTAATCCTTTATAGTTAGAAAAAAGGTAACTTACTTGTTTATAAATTTTTCCTAAAACAGAGAAATCTTGATTTGAATCATTTTTAGTATTTTAAGTATTTATGTTAAAAGCTTGTTCATTTTGGGGGCACCTGGGTGGCTCAGTCAGTTGAGCATCCGATTTGGTTTAGGTCATGATCTCAAGGTTTGTGGGTTTGAGCCCCACATCAGGATCTGTGTTGACAACTCAGAGCTGGGAGCCTGCTCCAGATTCTGTGTCTCCCTCTCTCTCTGCTCCTCCCTGGCTCATGCTGTGTCTCTCCCTGCCTCTCAAAAATGAGTAAACATTTAAAAAAATAAAGAAGTTGTTCATTTTGATTTTTTAAAGTTTTTATTTTTATGTAGAAATAGTTAGCTAGAAAACACAATGAAGGGGCACCTGGGTGACTCAGTCAGTTAAGCATCCAACTCTTGATTGCGGCACAGACTAGGATCTCATGGTTCCTGGGATTGAGCCTTGCATTGGGTTCTGCCCTGACATTGAGGAGATTGCTTGGGATATTCTCTCTCTCTCACTTAATAAATAAATAAATAAATAAATAAATAAATAAATAAATAAATAAATAAATAAACAAACAAACAAACTTGAAAAAAAAAGCATAATGAAAAAGAATCACAGTCACAACAAGATAATATAAACCATACAGTAATCAACTTAATTGTGTGTTGACCTCTGTGAAGAAAAAATAAAATTTATATCAAGACATATAGAAGAGCATTTTTAATAAAGAGCAATGCCATGCATCTATCTGGGTTAACTCAATGTTGTAGAGATGTGGTTTGGAATTGATTTGTAAACTCCGGTGAGAAAGGAGTGTAGGAAAGAGACTTATCAATATAATTCTAATACTCTTCTGAAAGAATGAAGCAAGCAACAATAAACACATTTTTAGGAAAAGGAATCTATATATAAGAAAGGATTTGTAATTTTTTTGAGCCACAGTAATTAAAACATTATAGTTCTGGTACAAAATTAATGGGAAAATAGCTCAGAAGTAGTTCCCCTGGGTGGCTCTGTTGGTTAAGTGTCTGACTCTTGATCTCACAACTACGATATCCTAAATACCCTAGAGTATTTGGACAATTGTTTATAAACATTTTTTTCTTGAGGTATAATTTATAGAGTCAGAGACACATTAATCATAGTTCTGTCATGGAATCCATTTTTAGGTGAAGAACGAGGTTTCAAAAAGTAGTATCACTTAACTAATTATTGTTTAAAAAAAAGGAATTCTGACATTGATTTGAGCAATCATAATAAATGTAGGAAACTTACAAAATTATTTCTTTGAGGGCATTACCATTTGGATGTATGGTTGTGCTATACTTTGTGAAGTTATTTTTTTTATTTTTACTTATATTGAGAGAGAGAGAGAAGAGAGAGAGAGAGAGAGAGCATGCGTGCAAGTGGGGCAGGGACAGAGAGCAGAGAGTGCAGATCCGGCTGCAGGGCTTAAGCTTACAGACTGTAAGATCATGACCTGTGTTGAAACTGAGAGTCGGATGCTTAACTGACTGAGCCACCCAGGCTACCCTGTGAAGTTATTTTTTGAGTCTTATTTCTTCAGCAAGAGTTTTGTGACTTTGAGTGTCCATGTCTGTTAATGAACTTTACTTGATCGGAACTCCCAGAAATTATTTTCAAGATTGTGTATCTATCAGTATTGTATTTATCTTTTTATGTAGTGTTTACTAATCCTTTGTTTCTTAAAGGTTATTATGGAACATTTCAAACTTATAACAAAGTGATATTAGTGCAATGAAACATATACCAATTACTGAACTTGAATGGTTATTCATAGTCAATCATATTTCATCTATACCTAATTAGCTTTCCTTCTTTGGCTCCCCCTGCTCCTACTCTGTTTGTTTGTTTGTTTGTTTAAATTTTTTTAGAGAGAGCAGGGGGAGAGGAGCAGAGGGAGAGAGAGAGAATCCCAAGCAAACTCCATGCTCAGCATGGAGTCCAACATGGAGCTTGATCCCACAACCCTGGGATCATGACCTGAGCCGAAATCAAGGGTTGGGTACTCAACCTACTGAGCCATCCAGGGGCCCCTGCCCTGATTATTTTAAAGCAAGTCCTGACACATTTCACCAGTAAATATTTCACTACGTAACTTTAAGAAACAAGCACTATTAGGGGCGCATGGGTGGCTCAGTCAAGGCTGTATGGTACTGTCATAAGGATAGATAGATAGATTAATGGAGTTGAAATGAGAATCCAGATGGGGCGCCTGGGTGGCTCAGTCAGTTAAGCGTCTGACTTCGGCTCAGGTCATGATCTCACGGTTCATGGGTTCGAGCCCTACGTCGGGCTCTGTGCTGACAGCTAGCTCAGAGCCTGGAGCCTGCTTCAGATTCTGTGTCTCCCTCTCTCTCTGACCCTCCCCTGTTTATGCTGTCTCTCTCTCTCTCTCAGAAATAAATAAAACATTAAAAAAATTTTTTTAAAAGAAGCACTATTAAAAAAACCTGTAATACTGTTATCAAATATAAAAATAACCTATAATTATTCCTTAATTTTATATCATCAAATAACCAGTCATGTTCCGCTTTCTCCAGTTGTGTCCTACTCTTTTTAATTTTTTGAATCAGAGTCCAAAAAAGATTCATAAGTTGGTTATTGATATTTTTGAGTCTCTTAATCTGTTAGGTTTTCCCTACTATCTTTTTTCTCTTGAAATTTATTTGACTAAATTCATCAGTCATCTGATGAACATCTTAGCAGTGTTTGTTATTTGAAAATAAAGGGAATGCCTTACTCTTCTTAACAGCATTTGCTATTTGAAAATAAAGGGAATGTCTTACACTTCTTTATACTTCTTCTTTACATAGTATTTGATATAGCACATTATAGAGAGACATTAAAAAATCCTTTTGGAATTGAAGAGGGATACTTAGAAAATCTGATTCCTTTTTTTAGGGACAAATTTAGTGTGAAATTTGACACACTTTTAGGAAATATTATCTTTTTAATAAAGAAACTTTTATTTCAGTTGCTTTGAAGACATTACTCTCCCCCTCAAAGAAGTTCTTAATTTCTTCTAGTTTTTAACTTTTTTTTGAACATTTGTTTATTTTTGAGGGAGAGATAGAGTGTGAACAGGGGAGGGACAGAGAGAGGGAGACAGAGGATCCAAAGCAGGGTCAGCACAGACAGCAAAGACCCCAATGCAGGGCTTGAACTCACAAACCATCAGATTATGACCTTACCTGAAATTGGATGCTTAACTGACTAACGCCACCCAGATACCCTCTAGTTTTTACCTTTTGAGCCTTTAAATTACATTAAAAACCAATACCTTTTTATTGTCTTTCTCACTTTAAAAATATATGCTATTTTTATTTTTTTCTGTAAATCAGAGTTGTACATAATTAGAATATCCTAAGTTTTCCTTACTTTAGAAGTAAACACTTGAAAGAGTTTAGTGGATATATGCTTCCAGGCTTTTTTCACATTTTATATAGTTTTTTAATGGAATTATAGTTTACATAATTGTACAACTTGATTTTTCTACTTGAATATTTTTCCATTATAGAAAAAATATAAATCTACATTCTTTAAAGGCCTTATTTCTATAAACATTTATAATCCGTGTTCTGAATATATGACCCTTGATTTCTAGCTTTTCTATACATGTCGTTTATAATTTATCAAGTTTTGTTCTATGAAATGTAATCTATTCCACTTGTATATTTGGCAGAAGCTCTAAGCATAGACTATTCATTTGTCTTGGGTAATGTGCAGTTTGGTTTTACTCAGTAAAACATGTTTTTTTGGGTTTTTTTGTTTCATCCAAAATCTGTTTATTGGGATAGTTTCTCACTCATCTTGAGTCCCCGTGCTTTAAGGGCTGCTTCTCTCTGAAGGATTTATACCCTGCTTTTCCTCCTGTAGGTTAGCAGAGGACAGTGGAACAGCCAACTCACAAAACAACTATTTGTGCGTGGCTTAAGATGGTGGTGATTTTGTAGCATCCTGGGCACTTCATGTCCATGAAGTAGTTGGGGCCCTGCACCAGGCACTTCTTGCGCTTCCTCTTCTCTTCCAGGACAGGTGGAGGAGGTCCTTTGCAAGGGGCATTTTCTTGTAAGGAAGTCATCACCACTGGAAAGTCAATAAACTTGTTTTTGTCACTTTGAAATATAATTGTTGGGTAAAATACAAAAGTATTAGGAAAAGAAGTTTCAAATATATCACTAAAAATAAGAATTTATTTCTTAAAAATAAGTTTTGCTTTAATTGATTTCTAGTCTAAAAGTAAGCCTTCTTATCTAAAATATATACAAGGTTAGTTTCTCTGTTAGTGAAAGATACACATCATTTACCTTTGGTAGTTTCTTTTTTTTTTTTTTTAATTTTTTTTTTTAATGTTTTATTTATTTCTAGGAGAGAGAGAGGGAGAGACAGCGTGAGCAGGGGAGGGTCAGAGAGAGAGGGAGTCACAGACTGAAACAGGCTCCAGGCTCTGAGCTGGCAGTCAGCACAGAGCCTGACGCGGGGCTCGAACCCACGAACCGCGAGATCATGACCTAAGCGAAAGTCGGACGCTTAACCGACTAAGCCACCCAGGCGCCCCTACCTTTGGTAGTTTCTTTAAGTACATGATGTCATCCTCAAGTTTGGTGCTTTTATTCTTTCAGAGATTAAAAAAGAAAGACTAGAAGGTAGAAGAAGATGCTGGGATCTGAACGTGGTGTTGTGGAAGAATGGTTATCAGAATTCAAGGTATATTGGATTGGGGATAAGAATGTATTATATGTTTCTATATTTCCATAATTCAAAAGTGAATATGTGTTCTATGGAGAAACTGAAACAAATGTTATGGTATAAAGTGGAAATGGCAAAATATGAAATAATGTGTTTCTATAATTGTAATTCTTTAAGAAGGCACTAAGGTGAATAATGGCTAGAAAGTAATATGTAAAAATAAAAATAGTTGTTAGGATTGATGAGGGAATATATGAATATTTAAATATATTCAATAAAAGAGGGGAAGCTTCCAAGCTTTAATAAGGCACAGACATTGGATTTATGCCTTATATTTTTATTTCCTGTAATTAAAAATCAGTCATTGATTTGATTTAATTTTTTTTTTTTTCTGAAAGAGAGACAGCATGAGCAGGGGAGGGTCAGAGAGAGAGGGAGACACAGAATCTGAAGCAGGCTCCAGGCTCTGAGCTAGCTGTCAGCACAGAGCCCGATGCGGGGCTTGAACCCATGAACCGTGAGATTATGACCTGAGCCGAAGTCAGACGCTTAACTGACTGAGCCACCCAGGCGCCCCTGATTTAAAACTATATCATTTCTGAACTCTCTGAATGTTTCGTAAGTATAAAATGCAAGAATTAAAATATGTTCTAGGAGCACTTATGTGGCTCAGTTGGTTAAGCATCCAACTCTTGATTTCAGCTCAGGTCATGATCTCATGGCTTGTGAGTTTGAGCCCCACATTGGGCTCTGCCCTGAGGTGCAGAGCCTGCTTGGGATTCTCTCTCCCTCTCTCTCTGGCCCCCTTCCCTCCTCTAAAATAAATAAAACTTAAATACACACACACACACACACACACACACACACACGTACACGTATATATGTATATATTCTATACTTATGTTTTTTAGACTAGTGTGAGGTGACCCATTTCAGCAAAACTTGGTATAATGTGTGATTTCTAATCATTTTTCATGGTTGACTAGTTAGAAGAATGGTATACTGTAACATCCTAACTTACTTTATTTTATTAATGCTCATGGATAGTTCTTATATTAATTATCTTTACTTTTTTAGTTGACTCTATCACAAATCTTTTCAAGAGGAACTGAGGTAAAATATATTTCCTGACTTCCCAAATATTAAGTTTGCTTTTGATTTCCTTTGATGTTTCTTCTAGGCATTACCTGATACTCAGATCACCAATTATGCAGCAACTTTACACCGGAAAAAAACACTGGTACCAGCCCTCTATAAAGTTATTCAAGATTCAAATAATGAGGTAGGAAAGTTTATAAGAAAAATAATTTCAACATAGTAGAATAAAATATGTGTACTAAAACACATATGTAAGTTTTGTAGTTTTCCCCCCTCTTTTTTTAAATCCTTCTTATGGGACTGAAAAACTTTCTTTCTACTGTTTTTCATTCTGATAGTTGCTTTGGCTTTCCCTTTGCCTTCCCTCTTTATATTTTTAAATGAGTTGATCAAATTTGTTTCTTTTGAGGACTATATGTTTTGGGTCTTGATTTGAGTGACCATCATCTCAAATTACTTAGTTAATTTGAAACTTTTTTGTGTTGCCTGTTTGGGATGTTTCCTTTTCTAGAATCCAAATTTGAGCCATGCGCTGATTCAGCGTTTTTTATTTTAAGTATTGTTTGCAGTTATTTTATTGACAGTATAGAACTGTATATATTACTCTAATCAGTGAACTCAAACTGGTAACATAAACTGATGCTGCTAGTAAATTTAGCTTGAAAATGATTGGACAAAAAACTACTTAGCCTAAATAGTTAAGATCAATAAACTTAGAATAAGAGTTTCCTGTTATTCAGCTTTGTGGTAGAAAAGGGAAAAAAATGGAGCTCTGGAATCTATATGTTAACTTATGCAAAATACACATTATCTTTCCATTAACACAATAGTATGACATGTAGTTTTATCACCACTCGATTCATGTATGCTTTAAAATGAAAATGAAAGGAACACACAGGAAAGTAGCTTCTTATCTTCCCAGATACAGCCTCCAAGAGTGCCTCTGCTGTGTACTGGAGTGAGTTTGAAGAAGTACAGGTAATCATCTCCTAACCAGCAGCTTAATTTAAAGTGCATCTTAATTTTTGTCCTACCACTAAAAGCTTGCTTTATTGACCTCTTTCTTTCCTATCTCATAAACTTGGATTGGCTCTCAGTTAGGCTTGCATCTGTTGCTATTTGTAGCAGCAATTGCAGGATTCATTTGCTGCTTTTTCTCTTGCTGTGTATTTATGAATGTTTTATAACTTTAGGTGTGGTAATGTATATATATTCATATCCTTTTTGGTTAGACGTTTTCAAAATTCTGTTTGAATAATGAATGTGTTATTTCCTGCCCCTTGTTTTGCACTGTTTTAACACTTAAGCTTTGCTCTATTAAAATTTGTTTAATGCTTTCTCTTTAGATTGTAAGCTCTTCACGAGCAGTGGTCATATAGTCTGTATTTGTTACTTCCCTAGAATACAGTATATTATTATATACATAATGAACACTTCATAAATATTGATTGGAAGAATAGTGAAACACAAAATGAGATTCTAAAATGCTATCATTTTCACTAACACAAGTATATAAAAAGTATTGGTTTCCTTTTTTATACTTTAGAAGCTCTGACATTAAAAAAAGTTATTCACATTACTTTATATTGTAATACTTTGTAATATTAATTGTGAGACCTTGTCATGGGTAGAAATGAAAAATTACAGCTTGGGAGATAAAAGCTCGACAGTAGTCATTATAATCATCCAGTTGCCAGAACAGATCTGTCTTTTCATCTTTTCTCCTGTCAGGTAACAGGGTTCTAAACATGTGGTCATCTTTCAGAAAAGCAGACTGAAACTCTATAGAATCTCATACTAATTCTGAACTTTAGTCATAGAAGGAGGCCACTTTTAGTCTTTATTTTACAGTATTCTGAAACATAATCAACTGCTTTACTTAGTTAACAGGAAATCATTTCAGAAAATCATCACATGCCATATAAAATAATAAATGAAGCTTATGACAGTCTTACAGTTTTGCTTTAAAGACCTTAAAAAGTTTTTAAGAAAGTGTATTTCCTAGTTTAGTATTACTTATCATGCCCAACCTGTACTGCAGCTGAAATTTTAATCTCTAGACCAACATACTGCTTAATTTTCCTCTTTTTTTTTTTTTTTTGTTCCTGATCTTCTAGTTACTGTTGCAGTTCTTCCTCTTCAGGGAGACCTCCATCTAACTATTAACCCTAACACTTTGTCTTGATTTGATTCTCTTTCCTTCTTCCTTTACACAACTCACTTCTCTCTTTACCCAACCAAATTTTCATAGGCCATTTCCTTACAAACATTCTTAGCTCCTTTGCTCCTCATTCCATTAGTTCTTTTTCTTTGGGGGAAAATCTCAACACTGAATAAAATCCAGCCATCCATCTTCTTCAGGCCTATACCTGAGCAGCTCGACATACTTGCAGAAAACACAGTTTTGTTGACGTTTTCCACTTTAAATGCAGGACTAAAAGCCTCAAATGGTCACATAATACTGCCTTGTAGTCTTGCTTTACTTTCTTGGTATATGTCCCACTGTCCATTTTACACCTTCTCTTTCCTCATACTCTTACCCTCCTTTCCCTCATCTCCAGCTTGCTTTCTGTGTCCTTAAGAAAAGAAGAAGAGGGGCGCCTGGGTGGCTTAGTCGGTTAAGCGTCTGACTTTCGCTTAGGTCATGATCTCTTTGTTTGTTGGTTCGTGCCCTGTTTTTGGCTCTGTGCTGACTGTCTGCTCAGAGCCTGGAGCCTGTTTCAGTCTGTGACTCCCTCTCTCTCTGACCCTCCCCTGCTCACGCTGTCTCTCCCTCTCTCTCTCCTAGAAATAAACAAAACATTAAAAAATTTAAAAAAAAAAAAAGAAAAGAAGAAGATAATTGGGAACTCTCTTATTTTCGCATTCCTATCTACCACTCTACCAGCTTTACCACGTATGCTCTTTTGCCTTTTCTGCTGTGGATGAAGTGTCTCAGGTGGTATCAAAGTGTCTCATGTACTTAGGTCTGGATCACATCTTCTCTGGCCACCTGAAAGATTGCTCCTGCAATTATCCCTTCTCATTCCTTCATCACTGATTTCTGACCAAAAATTATTGGATTGCCAACTACTACTCCTGCCCATTTTTTAAAAAAGGAGAGTAAAAATTTTGACAACTCTTTATTTCTTTGCTATGCTTAATTAAAATGTAGTCTTTTACATGCCATTGTGGTTCTTGCTACTGAGAAAGGGAAGTTAAGGTCTTTATAACAGAAACAAATCATAATTGTACCACGGCAAATAAAATTTAGAGACAGCAATTTTGTAGTCTTTGACTAAAGAAGAAAATAGATTTGAAACATCGATATGTATTTTTAATAAATACATTTGCGAAAACAGCAGTCTTTAATTCCCCAAAAGATCTATTTTGTCAGTACTTTAAAGAGATAGCAGCAGTTGACTATTTTCAGAAGTTTATTACTTCATTATTGACACTACATGGAATATACTATTTGTAGTTAAATAATCCTCATTTCCTACTTTCTACCTTCATTCTAGTATAAGAAATGTGGGACAGTGGAAGCATCAATGGTGTTGGAAGTTGGAAGACCTGAATTTTAAGTGTCTTCCTCCCCCACTAACTTCTGTGACTTTGGGAAAATTGTCTGACTGGTCTAGACTTCTGTGTAAGGGGAAAATTGGAGTTTTTTGAAGATTGTAAATATTATGATCGTGGTTTCACATAATGGGCTTCGTAGTTACTAGACACAAGGATGTATATGTGTGTGAACTTTTTTTAGCGTTAAAGTCATTCCCTAAGAGCTAAGCTTATCTCATCTAAATATATTATCTGTACATTTAACATTTGGGTTTGTTGATTTTTGATTTGGAATTATGAAAATAGTGATTTATTCTAGAGCGTTAGGTTATTATAGACCTCTATAACTACATTCAAACAGATTTCCAAATGTATATGCATTATTTAATCATTCAGAATGGAGGCAAGCATATAAATACTGAATGATTCATTTTTTAAAGCTAGTATTAAATTTTAATTTAGACATTATTTTCTAGTTTCTTGTCAGTGTTTTATTCGCATTTTAAAATCATAGCCAGTTTTGTGTAATCTGTGGTTATATCAACAAAACCATTCTAGATTGGCAGTACGTGACTAGGAAAAAGGGAGAGGTTTATTTAAGTTGATCATTTTCTTTAGTTTTCAAGGTGATAAAGACCTTCATAAGTCCTATTGTGTGATATCACATGAAAAATTAAACAGTAAAAAAGCTATTCCTATATACTTCCCTTCTTTTCAAAATCTTTTAAATAAATATAATTAGTAGAATTTAAGTCAGTTTTGAAATATAGAAGTAATTCATTTGTTTTACTTGTATGTATGTAAAATATTAGCTAGCATTTTGGATGTCCAAATATTATATATTATAATATTCCTTTCTCTTTTGAGTGATATACAATTTCGTTTAAATCATAATCTAAGTTGAGATTTAAAGTTTGTTCCCAACAAGAGCATTTGAAGTTATTTTCTTTCAATAGAAACTTTTTAAAGCAGAGGATAGTAAGGGCTGATAATAATAGAAAAGAAAACTTAATAAATATAAATGTAGTACGTTGGTTAAATAATTATCTAACAAATTTAATGGATCAGTGTGTTGAAAAATATGTTGATATTATATGGGCTCAAAATACTTACAGTTAGTAGATTGGTCAGTTTAATATGTAGTATCTACATAAGTAGAGATTAAGGTTGAGGTCACAGTGATTCAAAATATGCAAAAATTAATATGGACAATTTATTTTTTAAATATTATACAAGTATATGTGCTTTAAAAAAAACACACTGTTACAGCAAAAGGATGGAAATAGCTCATGTACTTTATTTTCCTTTTAGCTTCTGGAGCCTGTCTGCCACCAGCTGTTTGAGCTCTATCGTAGCTCTGAAGTTCGACTTAAGAGGTTCACACTGCAGTTCTTGCCAGAATTGATGTGGGTTTATTTACGGCTTACAGTTAGCCGAGACAGACAGAGTAATGGTTGCATTGAAGCACTTCTGTTAGGAATTTACAATTTGGTAAGTTGAAAATGATAGTTGGGGAAATTTTAAGTATTTTTAAAAAGTCTTCTGAAATAATACTTAAAGAATACTTATAAAAAAATAAATTGAAAGGTCTACTGAGTAATTTATTTGAATTAATATAATTGAGTACAGAGAGGCTTAATACATAATTGCTGGTAATGCATTTTATAAAACAGGTGAAACTATTAGAAATGATAGCATTGTTAATATTTTGTGACTTATCTTAAATTACTTTAATTGACCAGTGTTTATGAATGTGCTTCATTTAAAATTTTTGAAATTTATTTTGAATAATCATTTGATAATATATAATTGACACTATATTGTTTGAAATTCTTCTAAGAAATTCTTAAGTATGTTAAACATTTTTCTGGGTCTTTTTTCCCCCACAATGTCCAATTAGGACTTTGGTATTGAAATTCCTGCTCTTTGAAGATATTCTTTGTATTTAGTATTGATTGTAAACAAGTAATCTATGTAATAAAGTTAGTTTTTTCCATATTAATTTTTAAATTTAAATCCAAGTTAATTAACACATAGAGTAGAATTTGGTGATTCATCACTTACATATAACACCCAGTGGTCATCTCAACGAGGGTAAAGTACCTCATAAAACATTGAGTTTCACAGTAAATAAATGTTCTATACCAATGCTCAGTCCTTAAGGTATCATCCCTTAAAAAATCATTAGAAAACATTTCTGTCACTGGAACACGTATCTGAAGAAAGGAGTATGGCCTTTGAAATCCTTTGTATTTTGCTTAAAACCAGGCCCTGCCATTTATTTTCTGTTTTAAATTTGGGCAAGTTGCTTAATATCTTGACTTCAGTTGCTTCATCTGTAAAACAGAAATAAAGCATTGTTAATAGGATTAAAAACAATTAGGAGAGGGGTGCCTGTCTGTCTCACTTGGTAAAGCATGCAGCTCTTGATCTTGGAGTTGTAAGTTTGAGCCCCACATTGTGTTTAGAGATTGCTTAAAAATAAAATCTTAAAAACAAAACAAAACAGGAGAATCCATATGCTGCCTGAGTGTTTAATAAATGTCATTAATAGTAGTAGCAGTACCAAGTAGTACTTGGTTTTTGTTTACATGAAAAGCTGGTCTAGGTGTAAATTTCTCTATTTTGCCAACTTGCCTGATTGTTTTTTCTTTTAAAGCAGGAAACTTGTTTCACGTATTTCTCTCCTCTAGAACTTAGCATATGCACTTAATAAATGTACGTTAGTTTAATAATTAAATTTCATATTTTCGATTATGTTGGAAATTAAACTATCTTTTTTCTCATTTGTTTAAAGTAATAAAATTCAGTAGTGGGACAAATGAAGTAAAGTATTTTTAAGTGGGATACTCTTAAGTTCTTGACAGTGCTTATTGGTGCTATTGTTTAATTATCTTTTAGCATCTCAAAAATAGTGTACTACAAAATAAATGGTCAATTATATATCAGAATGTAACCCAGGCTCCTGTCTTCTTCTAATTCACTTACTGTCTGTGTTCTCTCTTCTCTGTGGCTTTCAATTTTTCTTAATGCAAAGTGTTTCTTTTATATATTTATTTCTCTTTTTTTCTCTTTCCCTTTTCAGAACTTCTCCCTTGCTTCATATAGCCCCAGAGGGAGTTTTATATTGCCTGTAGCTTAAACAAATTGCTTCTGCATCCTTCTTCAAGAATGCACAAGTTTAAATAAAAGTTACTTGGCTAAATTTGAAATTTAGGAATAAAAAATAAAGCTTTATTGCCAAACTTAAATTAGGCATCTTGTCGACTTTCTTTGAGGCATAATGGCTAGAATGTGGTAATAACTAGTTTGACTACAAAGCGGTTAAATGATCTCTCCAAGGAATTTTTAAACCATTTCCCTGTCAAAATAAGAGGTATGGCCAATGTTCACATATAATTGGTACTCTCCTGTGACATACTAAACTCAGAAATGAACCCTACAGAGAAATTCTTTTGGGTTTTTGTTTTGTTGACAATAGTTATTATTGTTGTTTCTTCCTTTTGTGTAACTCTCCCTCTGTCCCTCTCTGACCTTCCTTCTAGGTCTACTAAGGAGGATAGCCTTCTCTCTCAGAATTTTATGCTAATTATGTATATTAATGTGAATTAATATGTAAAAGAAATTAATTTAAAAAATTAATATGTAAAAGAAACATAGACCAAATGAGGCAGTAGAGGAAAGGAGTGATAATGGAGGAGCATTTCACCCCTCTATCTGCTAGTGTCTATAGGTAGATTTTTTTTTTTAATGTTTTATTTATTTCTAGGAGAGAGAGAGAGAGAGAGAGAGACAGCATGAGCAGGGGAGGGTCAGAGAGAGGGAGTCACAGACTGAAACAGGCTCCAGGCTCTGAGCTGGCAGTCAGCACAGAGCCCGATGCGGGGCTCGAACCCACAAACTGAGATCATGACCTGAGCTGAAGTCGGATGCTTAACTGACTGGGCCACCCAAGTGCCCCCCAAAAATAATTTTTAATAAAACAATTTATTTTACTTCTGAATATTTACCAGTACTAGGCACAGTTATAGATGACCCTCAATAAATGCATGTTGGCTGATTTTTTTTTTTAAATATAATTTTACCGACTAAGCCACCCAGGCGCCCCTCTATAGGCAGATTTTTATTGGTAACTGTAGAACACTGGTGGTACCAGAGACTATAGAAATAAAGGACACCATTGTCCTTTTCATTGAAAGATAAAGTGCTTTTAAAAGAGAACAATTTTCTTAGGTGCCTGGGTGGCTCAGTCAGTTGAGAGTCCAACTTCAGTCCAGGTCAAGAACCCACATTTCGTAGATTCAAGCCCCGTGTCAGCTCAGAACCTGGATCCTGCTTTGGATTGTCTCTGTTTCTGCTCCCCTGCCCCCCACACTGTCTCTCTGTCTCCCAAAAATAAATAAACATTTTTAAAAAAGTAAAAAGAAAAAAAAATAAAACAATTTTCTTGCAGTTTAGTAAAAATTACCTACATATGAATTTATTTTTAATCACTTAAACTAATATTCATTCTGTTAATATGTAGCTTAAATTGGGTCATTAGTCTTTTGCTGAATAATTGTGACAATTTCTTTTAGTCGGGATTCACTCTGTGTTAGAATAATGTGTTTTTCTTATTTAAAAAGTATATTTCTTGGCTAAAACATATAATCTGTTTAACTCAGACTTAATCGTTTGTAATCTCTCTGTAAATTTAACGGGAAAATTTATTTGTGTGCCTGCTTCATGTCCTTGCTGTCACATTGCATTTGATTTAGTTATAGTTTTGTGCTGCATATCTCTTAGAGGGTAGCTCAACTACTAAACTGTGTAATTTGCTAATGGGTTAGAAAAGATACACTAGGGTAGGAATATTTGTCATATGTTGCTGTTTCTAAAACTCTTCCTCAGTTGTCAATGATATTTTTGGTAAATTAAGAAATTATTTTTATTTATAATATAGCCCTGTGACTATTTATCTTTGTGTATATTTTTTAAATACAGGAAATTGCTGATAAGGATGGAAACAATAAAGTTCTGTCTTTTACTATCCCTTCCTTATCCAAGCCTTCAATATACCATGAGGTAAGTAAGATTGGAAAGGTGGAATTATTTAAGATTACTCTGAGTAAGAAGGGTGCCTGGGTGGCTCAGTCAGTTAAGTGTCCCAACTCTTGATTTCCACTCAGGCCATGATCTTGTAGTTTGTGAAATTTAGTCCTGTGTTGGGCTCTACACTACACGGAGCCCGCTGGAGATTCTCTCTTTCTCTCCCTCTCAAAATAAACATGAAAAAGGTTTTTATAAAAAAATTATATTGAATAAGAGATCAAAGTCAGTTTTTCACCAGAGATGAATTCTAACACATCTTTATTGATTTACTTCTTAAAAGTAGGTGCTTGTTAGTGATGTAAAGCTAAGCTGTTATCAAGAGACGCAGAAAATAATTAATGGAAAATTTCCTCTAGTTCTTGTTATTCCTTCTTCATTCTTCTAACACTAACTATCATTTTCACTTTTTTTATTAGTCTTTTATGAATTTTTAAAAATATTCTTTAATTTTTTAAAGTCTTCCATATTCATTAGAAACCTATGTTAGATTGATTTTTTATTATTTTTTAGAAAACTGTTACTTGAAAGGATATTAACATTAATTATTTCCATTTAAAGGAATCTGTAGTTGATGCACTGTATCTATAAACAGTACACTTCTGAGGTTTGCTTATATTTATTTGGTTGAACAATGTGAGAACCCTGATAATCATAATAGGTAGAAGACTTCTGTTAAGCTGAAATCCTTCTACCTGCTTTATTTAAGGATATATGCTGTGAATCAAGCTTCAGGTCTGCAGTGGCCTTTTGTGTATAAAGGTTGTAAGGAAAGCATTTAAAGGAACTTTACCAGTATTCCAAAAATTATATTCCATTTCTTATCATTAAACAGTATCCTTTTGTTACATAGCTCCATGCAGTTATTTATTTTCTTAATTAATTCCCGTGGGACTTTGTTTTGTATTGGAAATAGAATGCTTCTTATTTAGCCAAGCCTTGTTTTACCCTAGAATATTTCTGAGAATATAATCTTAATTAGATTTTAATTAAGTTTTGCGTATCATGTTATGAAATAAAATGGAGGATAGTGAAACATTTATGAGTGGCTGCTTCTAATTTTAGGAACATTTAATCAATCATGTCACTAGTAAAGAGACATTTGATCACATTCTTCAATAATTGTTTATAACTGTCTACCTTGCTTTAAGTTTTTAATTCCAGTTAATATACAGTGTTATATTAGTTTCAGGTGTACAGTATAGTGAATTCAACAATTCCATACTTCATCTAGTGCTCATTGTGACAAGTGTACTTAATTCCCATCACTTATTTAATCCATGCACCTTGATTTCTTCATTGTAGAATGGGATTAATGCAAGTACCTACCTACATGAATTTAAATGTGCAGTCTCAAGGCTGCTTTGTGTTTTGGAATACAAAGAAATTAAAATTGATGAATCTGAAAAAAATTTTTAAATAAAATTGATGTATTTGTAACCTTTAGTCTTTCAGGCAACTTTTTTTGTTTTGTTTTGTATTTGTGAGAGAGAGAGAAAGAGAGCATGAGAGAGAGCACATGAGCAGAGTCAGACACTTAAAACTGACTGAGCCCCAGGCATCACTCTGGCAACTTTTATTATTCTATATCTTAAATACAGGTTCATTCCATAATCTTCCAAAAAATAAATCAGTATATTTTTACAGCTGTAGAATGTATGTAATTGAAAAATGCAAAAGGTTTTGAATAAGAGAAGTGGTCTTAAACTGCCTTCTGTTAAAACAAAATTAAATCTCTTTATATGATATAGATTTTTACTTCATTTTAGAGACACAGTCTCATACTTTACCTTGTTTTTGTAGCCCTCAACAATTGGATCCATGGCTTTGACAGAAGGGGCATTGTGTCAGCATGATCTCATCAGGGTTGTTTATAGTGATCTTCATCCTCAGAGGGAAACATTCACTGCACAAAACCGGTAATGGTCAAAACTGTAGATAGTTATAATTTCTAACTTATGCTTAATAGTTAACTATAATTACTTTGGTTCAAGGTTGGTGAAAGAAGAAGCAAAAGGTTTAAAATGTCATGCTAGTAAAATAATTATAGTAGTGAAATACCTATCCATCTAATGCATGGTATTGTGTATGGTCATCTTGTATAAAGCAATGTAAAACTAAAAGTGTGGGCATAAAGTCAGCCAAACTAAGATTTGTGTTCTAGCACTACATGTTAGAAGCTCTCCTTTTCAGGCAGTTAATTTACTTTCTGCACCGTGCTTTCTTCATTGCAGAATGGGTTTATAGAGTACCTATCTTCCTGAAGTTAGACAAACTGAATGCATAGTCCCCAAGACTTCCTTTACTTCTGACACTAACTGCAAGTTTGGGGGAGGGGGGTTTCCCATAACTACTCTTAGATTTGATAACTCACTAGAAGGACTCAGAATTCGCTGAATGAAACTGTTTTATTCACAGTTAAGGTTTGTTACAAGAAAAGGATACAGATTAAAATCAGTCAAAGGGAGAGATGCATAGAATAGAATCAAGAGGGTTCCAGATGCAAAGCTCCTGTTGTCCTCACCCATGGAGTCAAGATGCATTCCTCCTCTCCCAGCATCAGGAGATGTGGGAGGATATCCAGTGTGACAGGATAGAGTCAAGTTCAATGTCCAGACTTTCACTGGGGTCCATTATTTTAGATATGACTGGTTAGATTTATTTGCTCACATGGTTGATCTCAGCCTCCAGGTTGGTTGAAGCTGTGTGACCCAAAGCCTCACCCTAAATCACATGATTGTTGTTGTTTCTATTATTGCCAGTCCCCACCCTAAACAGAAACACTGCTGTCAGGTATGACATAGGTTGCTTCCTAGCAGGGAGGCAAAGGCCAGATTTCTTTGAGCAAGGCCAAATTCTTTACTGTACAGACTAGGCCTTGGCCTTTGGCCAAGTCTCTTTTAAACAAAAACAGTCATGTTTATCTGGGTATACATATGACAGACACATTTATATGACAGGCAGAGATAGCAATATGATTATTATGAATGTGCCCAACATTTGAGGAGCCAGTGTAAATTAGGGATACATTTGAAGAAACTCTGATTTGTTCTGTAAAGCCACTGCATACATATTCATGTTTTTGTACTAGTTTGAATATTTTCTATTGTACTCTACTCCATCTGCTGCTCTTTGTACCTTACGATAAACTTGAGCAGAAATATTGATTATAGAAATTAGCTGATGATTAGCTAAGTCCAGTTTTTCCCTCAGGCCAGTCATTTTCTACTAGCGTTCATCGTAAGGAGGCTTTAACTTAATTTACCAATACATTAGTATTAGTATTATAACCTTACTAACCATGCCAGTGTTACACCATATCACAGAATGGCAGTGGATGTGACCTGAAAAATAAGAGGCAAAGATACTGACATATTACTAGAATCTTAATCATTAACTATTACTGCAGTTCGTCATCATATATTACTAAAATGTCTCCCAGAACAATGCCACTCACATCTGCAGGCTTTTGTTTGACTTTATCAGGTTCTAAAATCAGGTGTAGTCTCACCAACATATGGTGTCACCCTTTCAAGAAATCTGATGTACCAAGAGACAGTATTGTCTCTTGCTGTTAACCTCTCATGGTGGCAGTGTAATAATTGAATTTTCCTCATTGCATAATCCATTTATTAATCACTTTATCTCAGCTAAACATTCTGACTTGTCTCCATTTGTACACAGACTTTTCTGCCTTTGGAAGGGATGTTATGTTTGGCCACTGTGCTGGTCCAGATTGCTGGCAGCAATACTAGCCTAGCATGTGGCTTCTCTCCATCCTCTCCCATCCATATAGGTAGATTTACCTAGCGACAGAACTAGTGGGCTCTCGACACCAGGTGATACATCTGTACTCAGTGTCAACCCAGTTTTGCCATATGATACGATGGCACAACCCACCCCATCAGGCTGTTGGGAATTTTAAAGATACAATTACAGTTTCTTGCTTAGAAATCCTCTGCTTCTGGCACCTGCACTTGCAACCTTGCTCCGAGACCAGTGCTTTAGGTAGAAAAAGAAAAGTTGAAGTGATGTGGGGAAGAAAGAAGTATAGTTATACCACCATGTTCTGAAGAGTTGCGTAGTCTTACCAACAATGTCCTCCTGCTTGCCACACCCCCAGAAAAGCAGAGAATTCTGTCTAGTAGTGACCCTCCTGTGTAAACCTGCCCTTCTTGCTTCATTCTTATCCCCTTTCCCCATCCCATTTTAGATGACAAATGTTTTAATTACTTGTTCCACTTCTCTATCAAACAATTAAGCTAAGGATATCTCCTTACCCACTCTTAACACCTTACGGGCTGTAAAGTGTGTTCATTGCTCTGAAAAAATGTGACTCAGCAGTCCAAGTTGGTGCAATGTCTTCTGTTCTGGTCCTTTTATAGTACTCTGAAGATTTGACCTACCATCAGGTAAGCAAAGTTTAGGGCAGAGTAAGTGTTTATTCCTGTCAGAACCAATTTGAGGCCGTAGGGCCTATAACTGTCAGCTATATATAGGGCCTTACCCAGGGTAATGTACTCCATAACCATCTGAAATCTGTGTCTCTCTTGTCAGCAAACAGAACAGTTTTTATTGGCATTTTTTACTTCAGCCTGTAAAAAGAATATTTCTAAATTCAGCTCCTTTCTGTGTTACTGCATTGCTACCATGTCCACCAATTTGGTGGGCACAGCTAGTCACTTCAAGCAAGCACACTGGGATATCTACTCCTTGATACCAGTTGCCTTCTGATTTCCCTGCTAGGTATTGACAAAATCCTCCTTTAATGCATTCCTCAAATACCCATCGTGATTTCTGTAGGGTTATTCCCTTTACAGAACCCCTTTATTTTATTTTTTTATTTATTATATTAAAAAAAATTTTTTAATGTTTTTATTTATTTCTGAGAGATAGAGAGACACCGTGAGGAGGGGAGGGTCAGAGAGAGAGGGAGACACAGAATCTGAAGCAGGCTCTAGGCTCTGAGCTAGCTTTCAGCACAGAGCCCAACCCGGGGCTTTAACCCATGAACCACGAGATCATGACCTGAGCCAAAGTCAGACGCTCAACCAACTGAGCCACCCAGGCGCCCCTATTTTATTTTTTTAATGATTAATTATTTTTTTTGAGAAAGAGAGCAGGGGAAGAGCAGAAAGAAGGGGGAGAGAGAATGCCAAGCAGGCTCTACTGTTTCAGTGCAGACCCTGATACAGGGTTCAAACCCATGAACCGTGAGATCATGACCTGAGGCAAAATTGAGAGTTGGACACTTAACCGACTGAGCCACCCAGAGACTCCACAGTCACCCCTTTAAGAGGCCAGTTTTCCCTTGCCTTTTGGCCTGACCATGGGGTGAAGCCATTGGCCACTACCATTGAGCTGGTAAAAAACTCACAGTGGCAAATAGCATTCAGTTAAATCCACCTACCAACCTGATTTGTTTTTAACCTTCTTCAGTCACAGTGGCAGCCTTCCAAACAAATTGTAGTCCATTCATCTTAGAACTGCCATCCATAGGGGCACCTAGGCAGCTCATTCGGTTAAGTGTCTGACTTCGGCTCAGGTTGTGATCTCACTGTTCCCAAGTTCAAGCCCCATGTCGAACTCTGTGCTGACAGCTCAGAGCCTGGAGCCTGTTTCAGATTCTGTCTTCCTCTCTGTCTCTGCCCCTCCCCTGTTAGTGCTCTATCTCTGTCTCTCTCAAATATAAACAAATTTTTAAAAAAAATTTTTAGGGGCGCCTGGGTGGCTTAGTTGGTTAAGCGTCTGACTTTCGCTTAGGTCATGATCTCGCGGTTCGTGGGTTCAAGCCCCGCGTCGGGCTCTGTGCTGACTGCCAGCTCAGAGCCTGGAGCCTGTTTCAGTCTGTGACTCCCTCTCTCTCTGAGCCTCCCCTGCTCACGCTGTCTCTCTCTCTCTCTCCTAGAAATAAATAAAAAATATTAAAAAAAAAATTTTTTTTTAATGTTTATTTTTGTTTTTTTCCCTTCATAGTTTATTGTCAAATTGGTTTCCATATAACACCCAGCGGTCATCCCAACAAGTGCCCTCCTCCATGCCCATCACCCCCCTTCCCTTCTCACCCACCTCCATCAGCCCTGAGTTTGTTCTCAGCATTCAGGAGTCTCATGGTTTGCCTCCCTCCCTCTCCTCAACTATTTTTCCCCTTCTTCTCCCCCATAGTCCTCCGTTAAGTTCCTCCTAATCCACCTATACGTGCTAACATATGGTATCTGTCCTTCTCTGTCTGACTTATTTTGCTCGGTATAACACCCTGGAGTTCCATCCACGTTGCTACAAACGGCCGAAAATCATTCTTTCTCATTGCCATGTAGTATTCCATTGTATAGATAAACCACATCTTCTTGTTCCATTTGTCACTTGAAGGACATTTAGGCTCTTTTCATGTTTTGGCTATTGTTGAGAATGCTGCTATGAACATTGGGGTATATGTGCCCCTAGGCATCAGCACTCCTGTATCCCTTGGGTAAATTCCTAGCAGTGCTATTGCTGGGTCCTAGGGGAGTTCTACTGTTAATTTTTTGAGGAACCTCCATACTGTTTTCCAGAGGGGCTGCACCAGTTTACAGTCCCACCAACAGTATAGAAGGGTGCCCATTTCTCTACATCCTTGGCAACATCTATAGTCTCCTGATTTGTTCATTTTAGCCACTCTGACAGGCGTGAGGTGTTATCTCAGTGTGGTTTTGATTTGTATTTCCCTGATGATGAGGGATGCTGAGCATCCTTTCATGGGTCTGTTGGCCATCTGGACGTCCTCTTTGGAGAAGTGTCTGTTCATGTCTTCTGCCCATTTCTTCACTGGATTATTTGTTTTTCGGGTGTGGAGTTTGAGGAGTTCCTTATAGATTTTGGATACTAACCCTTTATCTGATATGTCATTTGCAACTGTCTTCTCCCACCATTGGTTGCCTAG